GAAAATGAAAAAGAAAGAAGCCAAAGAGAAAGGTACCTGGGTTCAACTGAAGCGCCAGCCTGCTCCACCCAGAGAAGCACACTCTGTGAGAACCAATGGAAAGGAACCTATTCCCTATGAATTCATGGCATGATGGGTGTTAAAAATGAACTAATCTGGGACCAGCAGTTAGTGTAATGGCTGTCACTGGACTCCCACGTAGTAGACCGCAGTTTGAGTCCCAGACCTGATGGCTTAAACTCATGCCGGCGCGAGTGCATACGTTCCCAAAATCCTGAGAGGAGAAGGGATTGCAGCGTAGCCATCCCCCCTGGTGGGTGATTTCTCACTTTCTATCTCTCTGTCTCTCTCCGTCTGTCTGGCGATCGCATGCGCCCTATAGCAAAAACCTCTCCAAAAAAATAATTAATTAAAAAAATAAACTAATTGGTGATCTATTAAAAAAAAACAGAAAAGAAAGAAAGCAAAGGGATTGTACGTGTGTGTATCACTCGGGGAGGGACTGATTTCTCACTTTTGTTTCCTCTCTGTTTCTCTCTTCAGCAAGCACACCTGCCCTTTGGCAAAAAAAAAAAAAAAAAAAAAAGAAAAGCCATAAGGGGAAGGGGCCAGCCAGTGGTGTAGTGGGTAAGGTGGCTGGATTCCACATGACCAACAGCATGGCTAAAGTCTCAGACCTGGTGGACTGAAAAACATGCCAGGCTGGGAACCAGCAGTTAGCGTAATGGCTATGTCACTGGACTCCCACGTAGTCGACCACAGTTCATGTCCTGGACCCGGTGGCTTAAAACTCACGCCGGGTGTGTGTGCATGCATGCCCAAGATCCCAAGAAGAGAATGGAGGAGAAGGGATTGCGGCGTGACCATCCCCCCTGGGGGGTGATTTCTCGCTTTCTGTCTCTATGTCTCTCTGTCTGTCTGGTGAGCGCACGTGCCCTATAGCGAAAACCTCTCCAAAAAAGAAAGAAAGAAAGAAAGAAAAACATGCCAGGCGTGTGTTCATGCATGCCCAAGATCTCAAAGGGAGGGTGAGATGAAGAGAAAGGATTGAGGCATGATCATTCCTCATGTAAGCTTCTTTCTTGCTTTCTCTCCCTCTTTTTCTCTTTCTCTCTCTCTGGCAAGATCGTGCACCCTCTAGCAAGTTAAAAACAGGAAAAGATGTCCATCAGAAAAGACAGATATTCATGATGCCAAGTATTCTCACCTATCCCTAAAGGGTAGCCATCTCTTCATTCTCTTTGCAGTCCAAGTCCTTGGGTGATAACAAAAACCGCCACAAAAAGCCCAAGGACCCCAAGCCAAAGGTGAAGAAGCTCAAATATCACCAGTACATCCCCCCAGACCAGAAGGCAGAGAAGTCCCCTCCGCCCATGGACTCGGCCTACGCCCGCCTGCTGCAGCAGCAGCAGCTGTTCCTGCAGCTCCAGATCCTCAGCCAGCAGCAGCAGCAGCACCAGCAGCACCGATTCGGCTACCCCGGGATGCACCAAGCTCAGCTCAAGTAAGTGGGGCGGGCCTGGGGCGAGTTGGTGACTGAGGCAGATCATGGCTCCTCTGCTGCACATGGGGCCAGCGCCTTGGGACCCAGCAAGCTCTGTATTTTGTACCCCATCCTCATCCAGGGTGCTTGGGATGTGGTTCTAGTTAGAAACCAAGCAAGCGAATCAGTGCCCCTGATTAGACAAGTACTAGCACTTCCTAACTGACCTGTGGGACATCTAAGGATGCGATGCTGAAATTGGGAGTGTTTGCAATTCATTTCTGCTTTGGAAGACAACCAAGCTGAATGACTGAGTGATACCCTCAAAGGTTGACTCCAGACCTCAGGCTGTGGGGCCCTTTTCCTAGGTCACCTTTTTAAAAAAATATTTTTTTTTAGAGATTTTTATCTTAGGGCATGTGCACTCACTGAAGAGAGAGACAGGGACAGAGAGAGAAAAAGTGAGAAATCACTCCTCAGAGTGGCTAGCCGCCCTGCCATTGCTCTTCCTCCCTTCTTCTCCATTCTCCTCCCAGGATCTTAGGCACACATGCCTGACATGATTTTCAAACCACCTGGTCCAGGACTTGAACCTTGGTTGGCCATGTGGGAATCCAGTGACGTATTGCTCTGCCATCTGCTGGTCCTGCTAGATCACCTTTCAAATGGTCAATACGCTCACCTATGAACTTGGGATATGGGCTCCCTCCCCTGCCTCTGGTCTTCCTCAGGTCATGCTGATGACTATGCTGAACTTTTACTCGGTATGTTCATGCCTCCTCGGGACAGAACTGTACATCTGTTAAACCGCAGACAGACGTGTGGCCCCTTCCATATGCCAAAGTCTCCACCGCTCCCTCTTGTCTCCCCAGAATGAGGCTTGAGAGTCACTTGTCCCTGATTATCTAGCTGCACTGTTATTTTTTCTCTTTTTTCTCACCCTCTTCTACTGATTTATTTCATTTTTGGTCCTTATAGACAATTATCTTGTGATCTGATCTAAATGCAAACTACCCCATATATATTTAATCGTTTTTTTAAAGTGTGCCTCTGTTTTTCGCTTTATGTTTTTTAGAGAACCAAATGAACAGATGGTCAGAAATGCAAATTCTTCTTCAACACCACTGAGCAATACTCCTTTATCCCCCGTCAAAAACAGTTTTTCTGGACAAACTGGTGTCTCTTCTCTCAAACCAGGTCCACTGCCACCTAACCTGGATGATCTGAAGGTATCATTGATATAATCTTATTCCTTTTTATTTTGTTTCTTTCTTTTTTCTATTTTTTTTTTAGCAAAATAATAATACATTGTTAATAGCATCATTGCCAACTGATTTCTTGAGTAGGAGAGGGAAGAGGAGTATGGGAGAGATGGACGCTGGTGACTGAGTTTATGCTGCCGTGGACGAACACACGGGAAGAGCGCTTCGTAGGCCATTTAAACTCAAGCTGGTTTTTACACCTTTCTGTATCTCATTTGCATAAATGCATTATTGCGAGAGTCCAGTGGACATGTCTACATGATAGACCTTGATACAAAGAGCAAGTGTGATATTGATATAAGTTTCCAGGATATTCTAAACCAGAGGGCCATTCTGTGACAGACTTCTTTCAGTATCTGGTGAAATGACAAAAATAAGAACTGTGTAAGAGCTTTTCATAAATCTAAGTGCACATGACCTGTTTGACTAACCTTCATTCCAAGTGTCTATTTTCTCCCAATGTTTTGAATTTTTAAATATCCTTTCTGGGACCGTTCCATCACTGGACTTCCATGTAGTCGACTGCAGGCAAGTCACAAACCTGGCAGCTTAAACCTCACCCTGGGGGCGTGTGCATGCGTGCCCCGAATCCCAAGAGGAGAATGGAGGAGAAGGGATTGTGGTGTGGCCATTGCCCCTGGTGGGGGTGGTTTCTGTCTCTCTGGTGAGCACATGCACCCTATAGCAAAAATCTCTCTCTCAATAAAAAAAGTAAAACCAAATCAAATATCCTTTTCATTAGAAATGATATGGTAATAAATGGAAGTTGCATGATTTGGGTAGAATTTTATTTGTTCCTCTTGTTAAGTAACGATATTATTAAATAAGGATCCCAGTTCTTATTGAACAAGATAAAACATTGGTTAGCTGATGCTAATAATTTAATTTAAAACAATTCTGTTTTATAAAATTGCCGAGTCTGGGAGCTTCTGCTCGGAAGACTGCAGCACCATATTAAATGATACGAGCATGCCAGCAGCTTATTCCACATCACAGAGCATGTGAACTGACGCCCCCTAAAATGACATTAGATTTTGCATTGAACCCAGTGTGTTTCAGAGCAGTTCTCAGGATGGGCATACTCGTCCACCCATCCACTCTTCCCAGCGGGACCCAGACAGGAGCCCAGTGCCCTTCAGCTTCTCAGTGTGCAAAACGATCCAGTCCCTCTCCCCATTTTCAGTGATGACTCCTGCTTACCTATTTTCCACAAAGGTTCTTTCAAGTATCCCCCAAAACACAAAGTTCCTAAAGGTCTTCACAGCCTTCACTGTGCCCACTGTAGGCCCTTCCTTGGTCTTCTGTCCTCATTTTTTGTTCATTTATTTTTCAAGGCTTTTGGCATAGGGGACATGTGCTTGCCAGAGATAGTGAGAGGGAAAGTGAGAGATCACCCCCAAGGGGGTTGTCTATGCTGCAATTTCTTCTCTTCCGTTCTCCTCCTGGGATCTTGGGCACACATGCACATGCGCACAGCATGATTTTCAAGTCACCAGACCTGGGACTCAAACTGCGGACAGCCGTGTGGGAGTCCAGTGACGTAACCACTACACCATCTGCTGGCCCCCTCAGTCCTCATTTTCACGCTCATCCCCACTTTCAGTCCTCAGTCATCATTCTCTTTGAAAAAGAAGGTAAGGTTCAGGTTATTCCAAAGGGAAGGAAATTCTATGGCTGCCAGATGCCAACACTATAAATAACGTGTATCTTGGGTCTTGTACCAAAGGTCCCTCCATTCCTTCCACTTGGATTAAAAATTGTGGAGCTCGTTTCCATTTGGTATCTATAAACGGAGGAGAGGATGCCAAGCTGACGACAGTGCTGTCTGAGTCACTCTCCAAACCATAAAAGCAGAGATAAAAGTAGGCAACCCCTTGAAAACTACGCTGAGTGAAATAAACATAATTGTATGAGTCCACTTCTAGGAGGTACCCACAACAGGCAAACTCATAGAGACATGGTCGTTGCAAGGGACAGGTGATGGGGGTTGGCGGTGAGGAGTTAGTTCATGGAGACGGAGTTTCGGTCTGAATGACAATGAAGTCCTGGAGAGGGATAGCGGTGACAGTATTAAACATTTTGAATACACTTAATGCCACTGAACTAGACACTCAAAAGTGGTTAAATGGTAAACTTTATGCTATGTGTATTTTTTTTTTGATAGATTTTTGCTATAGGGCGCGTGCGCTCGCCAGACAGACAGACAGAGACAGAGAGACAGAAAGCGAGAAATCACCCCCCAGGGGGAATGGCCACGCCGCAATCCCTTCTCCTCCATTTTCCTCTCTAGATCTTGGGCACACACACACACACGCCCGGCATGAGTTTAAGCCACTGGGTCCAGGACTTGAACTGTGGTCAACTACATGGGAGTCTAGCAACATAGCCATTAACGCTAACTGCTGGGCCCATGCTATGTGTATTTTACCACAGTATTGACAACATTGATTTTTTTTTTAAAGTAGGCTTTTTTCTGCCTGGGGATCAAGGATCAGGTAGGAATGGAGAGAAGCCTGAGCCCCCTCAAAACCTAGTTGGGGTACGATAGTGCCGTCCAGCAGAGCTGCCAAAGGTAGTGTTCTGTGCACACACTCACAATCATTGGCCGGTGCCGATTATAGCCATGCACACAGATAGAGGGGAGTGATGGTGATGGTGGCTCCCGAAACTGTAACTACAACCCACCGGTCAGCCATTTTACAGAGTCAATTTGCTGGTACTAGCAGGACGACTGAGGAAAAAGGTCTAGTCAGTTTCTCTCCGTCAGAAATAAACCAACGTAGGGTCAGCCCCGCCACCTATGGGAGTGGGATCCCACATGACTGACCGTGGTCCCAATCTTGGCCACAGCAGCTCGAAAAACATGCCAGGCATGTGGGCCCAAATCAAAACAGGACGGAGAAACGGAGGAGGAGAGAGTGCCGTGCAATCACACCCCATTGCGTGATGGTTTCTCCCTCTCCCTCTTTCTGTCTCTCTCTAGCAAATGCACATGCCCTCTGGCAATTAAACAAAGAAAGAAGCCAAGCTAGTTCAGCCCCACTGTGACCTGGGGGATAGGAATAGAACTTTTAGAAGCAGGGACTGGCAAAGACATGGGGAGCTTCAAGGTTCGGGTCAGATATCTCCCTGAACACACTAGACACTCTCAAGCCCATAACATGGGACTGGTTGAAACTAGAGGTGAATCACAGCATGAAGGCCTTGTTGGGAGCGTGTGTCAGCCCCTCTCTCTCTGTCTCTCTTGCCCATGGAAAAAAAGAAAGGAAGAAACGGACCAGCAGCTAAGGCACTGGTCTCTCACATGGCTGACCGTGTTTCAGGTCCCGGACCTGGTGGCTTGAGACTCATGCCAGGCACGTGTGCATGCGTGCCCAAAATCCCAAAAGGAGGATGTAGGAGAAGAGATTGTGGTGTGGCCATCCTCCCTGGGGGGTGATTTATTACTTTCCCTCTCTCTGTCTCTGACTGTCTCTATTGTCTCTCTCTCTCTCCAGGAAGAGTACACACCCTAAGGCAAAAACCTAAAAAAAAAAAAAATAGAAGAAAAGGATACTTCAGAATTGAATGGGAAGGCTTAAAACTAGAAGAGTAAATGTGCTTGAGGGAAAGCAAAGCAGAAAGAGTAGAAAGGGAGGAAGGAAAGAGGAGGGGAGGAGAGAAAGAATAAAGGATGCATATGGCGCCGCCACATTTGGGGACCAAAAGCAATAAGAGGAATTTATGAAGGTAATCTTTTAAAACATAATCAGAAAGGTAAAATAAGGAAGGGAACAATATCAGGAAATATTCATGTTTTGCTACATAGAATTAAAAGGGAAAGTGGAGAACAGAGTTTATTTGTCTTTAAAAAGGTTACATAGAATTATTTTAGACAGAGGTTTTTGCTATAGGACACATGCGCTCATGAAAAAGATTATACGTCATTATTTTAGACGGAATTTTGCTATAGGACAGGTGCCCTTGCCGGAGAGACAGAGAGACAGAAAGCTAGAAACCAACCCCCACGGGAGATGACCACGCTACAATCCCTTCTCCTCCACTCTTCTCTTGGGATTTTGGGTATGCGTGCACATGCATCCGGTGTGAGTTTCAAGCTGCTGGGTCCAGGACTTGAACTGCTGTCGACCATGAGAGAGTCCAACAACATAACTATTATGCCATCTGCTGGTCCCTTATAAAGTTATTAAGTCGTATCGTGGTAGATGGATTCTTTTTGACGTCCTGTTTCTAAGAAACTGGAGAGTAAGAAAGAGAAAGAATAGACTGGAAGTTTGAAATTAGGAGACTGCTTTATGGGTATTAGTATATACTATTCGTTTTTATGGTGTGATATGGTATTATACCTATTTTTTAAAGTGTATTTATTCCGCGAGGAAAAGTGATAGGAGGGGTGCCCCCAAAAGGATCATTATGCCATGACCTACTCCCAGCTTCAGCCAGACCCGAATCGAATCATAGGCCTGGGTGCACCTGGAGTGTTCAGGAGGCCATGAGCCCAGAAGCTTCCCATGTGAGTAAACTTGCAGAGTGTTGAATCAACGCTGCACCATTTTCCAACTCTCTGTATCTATTTTTTTTAAGTATTTATTTCTTTTTTTTAAGAATTATTTTATTTAACTTTATTTATTTATTTAAATTTGACCAGAGAGGGACAGAGTAAGTGAGAGAGAAAGAGAGAGAGAGAGAGAGAGAGAAAGCAAACAAACAAGCCTCCAGGTCTGGGACTCAAGCCACCTGCTGGCCTCATACTTATTTCTTACAGATAGATACCAAAAATATTTACATGTGCAGTTTTATGATTTGCACCAACTAATTCAGGAAAGGGAAGAGAAGAAGTAGGTTGGTGTATAAGGAATCAAGATTGGGCATGAGTTGGCCATGGTTGAAGTTGATTGATGTTGAAGTTGATTGATGAGTGTATAAGGTTCGTCATACTTGTCTGTCTACCTTTGGGTATGTTTTCA